GGCATTACATCGATGAATAATTCATTTCATCAGTCAGAAAACGAAAGCGCAATCGAGAAATCACGTAAGCTCGTCCTACGTTGTTACAATACACTTGCTTCTCAACAAGAGCTATCCGGAGCTCAAGTTGCTTCTTATCTTATGAACTGGGAGGATCATTATACAACGCACAAATTTCAAGGCCTCTATCTAATTCAAACTGAACTGTTTTTACAAAGTGAATTGAACGAAATACGTACCAAACAAAAGTCGACATTTACAGTGCATGGTAAGTATATTAATATCTGAATTCACGTCTTAAAGTACTTATATATGACCATGATAAAGTATATTGTTTAACCAAAAGCTTACCTGAAAATAAAATTATTGACTGTTTGATAGATCAAAAGTACTATAATCCATGTGGTACTGTCATTTTTGCAATATAGAGGTAACAGATTATCTATTTCCTAGCAAGAAACCGTTTTCAATGTCGTAATTTTTGAGTGTGCTGAAGGAAGATATAATAGAGCGGTTGAATCGTGTTGTTATCATTAAATAAAACAAATTTATTGTTTATCATACGTAGATGTCATCGACGATTATATATGTGACGATGAAGCTATGGACGATCAAAATAATGATGAAGAACAGTTCCAGATTCAGGCATCCGAAAATGACGAAAAACATGTGCTTGTTAATACACGAATTGATTATCAATATCGGTCAGAAATTCTGAACAACATATGTCTATATGATTTTGTCAGTATCTTGTACAAGAAGAAGATGAATGCAGCAGATTTGAAATATTTATCGGACATTGTAGTACCTAAAAAACAAAACGATAATCGAAAAGGTCGACCTCCTAATGAACGTTATGCTTTTCAGAAACAGCATCCACAGGCGACAACATATGTAATGATGAAATATACTCAATCTCGTGTACCTATTCTTTATGGTCCTCAAATTCCTCGACAAGATCGTGATGACACACGAGAGCGGTACTGTCGAGCTCTTCTAACACTTTTTGTGCCCTGGCGTTCCGTAGCTGATCTTTGTGCCATCGAGCAGACATGGGAAGATGCATTTAAATCTCAACAGCATCTTATATCTACATATTCGATGACAATCATAGAAAATATTCAACTTTTACATGAATGCAAAAAGGATCGTGATGAACATTTACTTCAAGTTATTGCCGAAGCTCAAACTGATGATGATGTGATTGATCCTGTATTTTTACCAGCAAATCAAGATATTTATGGTGACGATGGAGTCGACGACAGTGAAGATTTACTTGAGTTACTCGGTAGTTTAGATGAATATACTACGACTGCGATGAATTCCATGAAAAAGTCAACAGAAAGTAAATACATTGAAGAAACTATTCAAGTGGTTGAAAACGTTGGACGATTTTCTGATATTCAATGTAAGTATTATATTAATATATTGTCAATATGATAGAAAATAACGATAAGAATTTATTATAGCACATACTCGTCATCTTTTTAATGAAGCTATTGGTGGTATGGATCAACAAATTGTGCCGTTCGTTTCAGCTACACCTACTCTCGTTCGACTCAATACAAAATGGCAAGAACAACTAAAGACTGAGAAAGAAAGAGTTAGACGAAGTTTAATTACGGGCAAATACGACAAAACGGACGATACATTAGATTATGATAGTATACAGGATGCACTTGTAACTATGGTCAATTCAAATAATTATAACATAAATACACTTGATAATTACACTCCAATTCGTCCAGTTGCGACAGCCACTACCACAAGCTATTCTACTCAGCAAAGTATTATTGAAGAATATACATTGAATAAAGAACAACAAGCTGCATTTCTGATAATAACCAATCATCTTGATGGTGACAAACAACATCATAAAGGTACTTTAATGATCTATACGTATAATAATAAATCAAAATAATATATATATAGGTACCAACAATGGTCAGCTGATAATGTGCATACCTGGATGCGGCGGCACAGGTAAATCACAACTGATTCGTGCTGTCACCAAATACTTTCTTATTACAAAAAGAATGCAGATGATGCGAAAACTCGCACCCACCGGAATCGCTGCTGCTGAAATTGGCGGCATGACAATCCATTCATTTTTAGGTGAACAACGTAATTCAGGAAAGCCGCGCACCATCAAACCAGGTGATACAAAACTTGAAAACCAATGGAGACTGATTGAGTACCTTCTAATTGATGAGATGAGTATGGTTGGTTTAACTCTACTTGGAAAACTCAATCGAATTATGTCCGCTGCCAAACATGCCGATCCTCAAATTCCATTTGGTGGCATAAACGTCATATTTTTTGGTGATTATTTACAGTATCGACCAGTATATGATGCACCGTTGTACACTGACTTTTCACTGCCCTCTAAAAACAAAACAGGTCAATCACGTAGTGAAAAAGAAATTCAACAACGCGCTGCACGTTCCCTAATACTTCAAATTAACTGTGTGATCAAACTTAGTCAACAGATGCGAACAGAAGATGAACGATACCGTGAATTACTCGAACGGCTTCGTCAAGGTGACTGTAATTTGCAAGATTATGAACTATTGTTAACACGCGTCGTTGGTCAGCCATCGGTCAGTTCTCTTCGCGAATCACCATGGAACGAAGTAAATTCTTTTTTCTTTTTAAAATAATTTTTCATCGTTTTGATGTTTATTTAGGCTCCCATTTTGGCATATCGAAATGAAGTACGAACACAACTAAACAACAAAGCAGCAGTTCATAATGCAGCACAACTAGATCTTCAGCCAATGGTATGTGTCGCGCAAGATACCTGCAAAGGAAAACCAATTGAAGATTCTATACTTATGAAAAAATTATTGGAATTATCTGACAGCAAGACGGAACACTTACCCGGTTTGTTGCCATTTGTTCCTGGAATGCCAGTTATTTTAACGCAAAATCTTGCTATTGAACTGGGTCTTATTAACGGCATAAATGGAATATTTCGACAATTAGTCTACGAGGCTGATTCTGTATCAATAGATGCTCTATCTAACACATTTCCGAACAACACACAGTACGTGCATCGACCTTTATATGCATTAATTGAAATTGCTAGATCGAAAATTGAATGTAATCTTGAAACACTTCAACCGAAAATCGTTCCAATACCGTTAATGGAACAAACGTTTCGTTTTGACGTTACTGACATTCTTCCGAAAAATAAAAAGCCAAAATCGAACCAGAAAGCAATGTTGTCAATTAAACGACGTGCACTACCACTTGTACCTGCTTATTGTATTACAACACATAAGAGTCAAGGGCAAACTTTGAGTAAAGCCGTGATTGACCTTAAACTGCCGAATGAAACTGAAGATATTGCCGCTGTTTATGTACCGCTATCACGTTTCCAACGTTTGATTGATGTAGCTATTTTACGGCCTTTCGATTACGAAGTTCTACGAATCAAGCCAAGTAAATTGCAAGTTGCTGAAATTGAAAGACTTGATAAATTGTATATTGATACCCAATTTCGATTTTCTGAGTATTTTCAATAATTTTTCTTTACTTTATAAAAATGCATGTTAGTCGTTATGAATTGTTTTGCATATTATGTTTTTTTTAATGAAATCATCAATCTATGTTCTTTATTATAATTGTGTTTTTTTTGTATTAGTATCGCTTTTATAGTAGCTTTGTAATCCTTTTCTAGTTCATATTATGAAAAGTTATTTGCTGGTTATAGATGCATTTTCCTTTTCGCATCTAGTTTTTTTTGTTTGTTTTAATCACATATTCCATATATTTGTATTATCTTATTTTGCATGAAATTTTTTGTTAATAAAATAAAATATTATTAGTCATATCAAAGAATCATAGCATTTGTCAAATAATTCGATACCATAGTACAAACTGCGACATGTTATAGATCTATTTACAATGATATTCAGTAAAAGTACGATTCTAATTGATAACAGTGAACATCTTTTCCATAATACATCACGGTATAGGATTGTTCTGTTCAGGCTACATTCTATTTATTCAAGCATAGATATCGATATGCAATAGTATAAAACGTAGTTTTCTCTGTTGTTGTCTCGACATAATACTAATTTCCGTGCTACTGTACGAATTTGTAAGGTGATGCACTTCTTATCATCCATGCTTAATTTTCAGTTTAACATTATCTATTAAAACCTATCTCGTTTCGTGATATTCATGAGAAATATTCATGAGAAAAAACTAAACCTATTGTAATTTTCAATATCAAGACATATAAACGAGAATTCTATAACATCAACTTTGAAAGCAGCTTGTTTTACTAATTTGTAGATAAGAATGATGATTTTATATATGAAACCACGATAAATCGAACTCAACTATCCTATCATACGCAATCTAAATCATATTATAAACATATGCGTGCACACTTTTAATATTATCACAATTGTGTTTATAAAATAAAGCAGCATTTACACGTACAAACACACAGTCGAGGGTCAAGCGAGTCGCCCCGACGCGCGTTACTTGTAAGTAAGATCAGACCGATTAAAGACAAAAGTTTAGCAATAAAGATTCTCTTGAAATAATTAATTTTCATATATATATATAAATCTTTTGTCGATCATATTAACAGAAGACCATACTTAATTTTTTAACTTTTTACATCTTACTCACCCATAACAAATAATGAATTATTCGGTAATTTATCGAATAAACGTGGTAATATTTCATTTACATTCTGTTCAATATCAATGTTTTCGATCATTTTGACTTCTTCAAACATCTAAGAAATAAAGATGAT